GCTTCAGCGGCAGCTCTGGATGGAAACCAGCCACAGATACTTTTACATCACTGTGCTTTAAGGGCAAACGACTTCTCCTTAGATCAGAGGAAACAAAGCACCCAGGACGGGAAGGAAATCTGACTTTGGGGAGGTTATCACGGTTTCATCCCAGCACATCTGCCAGCCCCGGTGTCAGCACGAGGCAACAAACACATGGCACGAATCCGGGAGTATAAAAGATGTGTCATCGCAAGCAGGAGTAGGAGGAAAATAAAGCAAGCTGACAGCTCACATCCTGTGCCATAATCCTAGAAATTGTTAATATTTACAAAATTAACAACTAATATAACCAATGACAATCTCACTCCTCCTGGTTGTCACGAGGATATTAACAGTTACCACCCGCTCCAGACTGGAAATGTTACCCGTCTCCGGAGCTCCTGCTGCTCCGCTCGCGTGGGGACGGCACAGACTCGCCCTCCCAGCCTTCCCACCAGCACCAGCCACGCACCCAAGCACCGCCAGGGCTGGAAGTGCCTCCGGACCTCACCCTGCTACTTGGGAGGGAGCGGGGGGGCTGGCAGAACAGGAGAAAGGGTTCTGCCTCTCCCCAGCAACACTGGGGGCCCAGCACCCAGCCCCAGGCACTGCAGCATGGTGGGGAGAGCCCAGAGGAGGGAGGAGAGGGGAGGGCCACGCTGGCTCAGATCGTACCCCCGAACAAGCTGCCGCTTCCCGAAAAAGGCCCGTGCTGCTGGTGGGATTTGCCAGCTGTCAGGCTGGCAGCTCACTGACGAACCGATGCTGCAGTGTCATTTCCTTAATAGGAAAGACCTGGCTAAAACCAAAACAAAGATGCCTGAAGACCAGTGACTCCATGGGAAGCGTATTTCCAGACCAACAACCACAAAAAGGCGAAACTTCAGAATCACAGTGGTGTTGCCCACGTCTTTTTTAAAGAAGAAAGAGTAACGGCAGCACCCAAGTTCTCAAAGCTGAGATCTTTTTGGTCGTGTTTTTTTTTTGTTTTTTTAAACTATTATCTGCCCATCAGGAGGACTGCAGGAGGCAACAGAGGGTTAACAGACACTGTACGTACAAGAAAACCGTGGATGGTGCCTCCACATGCGGGATTTCTGGCTTCATTTTGCTCTGTCTTTAGCAAGGAGCATTAATTCCCCAGGCCACTCTTTACACAGGCACAACATATCGGTCTTAGGGTAATTTTAAAAAGTTTTCTTTATCAGGGTGCATTGTATGCAAAAAAATCGCCAAACTCTTTCCAGTTCACCATATGCAAAATCGACACAGAGTATTACCTGCGTCGCTGTTTTCAAAGAGCTCCCAGGTGCTGGAAAGCCATAAAAAGGCAATTTCCTTCTCACAGAATCATTTTCTCCCCCTGAAGTGGTGTGTTGCTGGCTGCATGAGAGGCTGGCAGCCCAGAGACACAACCTGAACACGTGCCCGTGAATGAACAGACGGCCAAAAAGTCCTTTTCCAGGCACCCTGAGCTCAGGGAACTCCCTGCCCACCAGGCCAGCGAAACAGCACTGACCACGGGAGCAAAGAGCTGCCTTTGCAGAGCAGCCTTTGAGACACAACTGCTCCCCTCGGGGCAGCACCCACGGCCCACTGCAGGGGCCTCAGTTGGGCGGATCCCCTGGAGAAGCCACCACGGGGACCATCAGAGGGACCACCACGGGCTGCGATGCTCATTAACTCGTTCACTGCAACAGGACACAGCAGTTGCTTTCCTTTAAGTACAGTGGGGAAATAAATGTGACCCAGTAAAATGAAACAAGTTGGTTTTAAATATTAAAAAGCAATGACTCTAGAGAACAGACACATAAAATCATCAAACTCACATTAGAACTGTTGTGTAGTTTGCTCTAAGAGGCTGGTACCTTTTTAAAAACACTGAAAGACCAGCATGTTGCATCCCAGATGGTTTGCTTTTCTTCCCTGTGTCTCTTATTCTGCCCTGAGCCTCTGAAGGGCCCTCCCTGTCCTCCCATTTTGTTTTCTGTTTGTAAAGCTTTACACATTTCAGTTTTTCGTCATCTTTTCAGATCATTATCTTATTTTTTTCAGCTTTCAAGAAACTTCTTTTTTCCCCATCTGCCACGGTCTTCAGTACACTTCTTCTCCCTTTAGGATTTCTTTTATCCTTCTCATCTTTAAGCCTTTCACTTATTCTTCCCCAGAACCTTCGTTCTTGCTTTTGCTTGTCAAAACTGTGTTTCTTCCTCCTTCATGGGGGCAGAAGTGGGAAGGTTGGGTGGATTTTTTCGCTATGAACACCCAGGAATGCTCCAATCAATACTTTGAAACCCTGCAGAGGAGAGCTTGCACGAGTCTTTCAACACTTTCAAAATTTGCAACAGAAGTTAATGAAAGTCTGACTAATGTTTGAAAATCAGCAGCTTATTCTAAAGTGGTGCTGCAGCTTCCCACCACCCACATTATCAGGCCTTCCCCAACAAGCTTTTATTTTTACATTAGAGGCTCTGCTCCTGGCTTTGAAACCCTTGCAGCCCCGCAGCAACTTCTCTCTTTCCCAACTGCAAGCCACAGAGCAGGTGACGGACGCAGCCTCCGACACCACCCGGACCCCCTTAGCTCCGGCTGGATTTCTGCTCAGATCAAGGCAGAGCCACGTCACCCCCCGCTCGCAGCAAACCACGTCCAGGCGTACCCAGGGAGATCTCAGCAGAGCGGCGACTTCAGTTTACCTGGAAGTGAGCATAGGCAAAATGTCTTCAAGCCTGAAAAGAGGGGTCTGGCCGTGGCTGCAGCATCCGTCGGGAGCCCCGTGGGCACTGCAAACCCCGAGGGCTGGGGCAGCCATCAGTGCCTGGGGGGGTGTCAGGGGAAAGACTCACAGCCTCCACCCCTTCCCGACAGATCATAGAATCATGGAATGGGTTGGGTTGGAAGGGACCTTAAAGATCATCTGGTTCCAACCCCCCTGCCTTGAGCAGGGCCATCTTCCACTAGACCAGGTTGCTCAGAGCTGCTATTTATTTTGCTCCAAAAGGAACTGGCAATAGTAGTTTGGGGATCCTCTGACATTTCACTGACATTTCTTCAGGGCTTTTTGTAGCGTGATTATTACTGTCATTAGGTACCCTCACGTGGTAATGCCCACACCAGATTTAATCATGTGCACTCCAGCCGGGGGCCAGTTTTTGCTGTGAATTTTTAACACGCGCCCAACCTAGCAGCTCCACGGGCCTGTTTCAGTTGGACCTGTTCCCCTAGACAGATCATTGAAGAGGTCTGGAAAATACTCTGCAGAGCTTGCAGCAGATAGAGTTGACTGTTCCTGACAAGTCTACCATTCTTACTGTTTTCCATCTGCCTACCAAGACCGCTTCATTCTTCTGAAGTACCAAAGACCACTTAAAATGTGTCTCAAGCTTGATGCCAACTTCCTACCCCTGCTTGCCAATTCAAAAAATCTGTTGCAAAATATATGTCAATACATTTATTCCCAGACTAAGGCAACCATGTACTACTTAAATGCTGGGGTAATCCGAAATGGACTGAGAGGCTGGTGCTGATAACAGAGTCTTCAGATACAGAACCACTTTTGTGGAAGGTATCATCTCTAGCATGAGACACTGAAGACCTTTTCTTCTCTTGTTGAACACAACAGGCCTGTTTCAGCAGCCCGGGCATGTCTCCTGGCTGGCGGCACGGACAGCAGCCGAACTCGGCAATGGGCTGCTCAGGAGCGAAATTCATGAAATCGGAAACCAAGGGCGGGACGGTCCTGACACCAGCGATCTAGGTGTGAATATCTATTCTTGTTCCTTGAGTTTCCTGGTTAACTTTTGCTCTGCTAAGACTAATAGGTTTTTCTTCCCTGCTGCTAAGACCTGAAGCTATTTGAGATGTTCAAAAATTTGCGGCTTCTGAGCTTGGTTGTGGTGCTGGCTTTGTACAGATAAATATAGAACCTATGGCATTTTCAAAAGCCATTCGGAACAGCTCTTCAATACAAGCACATTCAGCAGACATTAAATACATTATTTGGGTTTTCTGCCTAAAAAAAAACCCAACACTTAAAAAATTGGCAGAAATACCATTTTCTTCAAATAAGAAAGTTCTCTTTCCCCAAATAAGGCTGGCAATTGGCAGCTCTTTACAAAGACAACTTTTCTTACTTTCTTCTCTCTCTTCCCCTACTTGATTTCAAAATAACCTTCAAGGCAAAAAAGCAGGACATAGTAATGTAAAAACGAAATAGAAACTGATTAAAATTTTTCACTCCTTGAACAGAATGCTTTACTTTTTAACTAACTTGTATCAGATAAAATGCTATCACGTTCCTACACAAGAAATTAACACATTGCAAGAAACTGGACACATACGTTCCTGGAGGAATTCGCTACTCAGAAGTCCTACTGAAGAAACTGAAACACAATACAAATAAAGACCTTTATTAAAATCACTTGGAATATTATATGAAATTTAATATCGTATAATATTAGGTGAAAACCCCCTGATATTAACAGGACGTGACACATGTGAAGAGAGGACATTAATATACATATAAATAGAAAAGCTAAAATGTGTTTGACAGTGATATATTAAATGGCTACATAAATGTGACCATAATTAGGAGAATACATAATTTTGTTTTCCTTAAGCAGTATCTTCTAAAGCAGTACAGATAGTAAATTGCTTTTACCTCTAGTGTCTGCTTTCTTATGAGTAACAGGAGATGCGTAGGAATATTATAGGCACATGCAAAAGCAATGTAAAAGATACAAAACAGAGGCAGAAGCCAGGGACTTATTTGTTCTTGGCTGCCAGAGGCTTACGGCTGATCTTCTTTGACTTGTCATTGTTCTTCTTTGGAGGTTCAGGATTTGCCTGCATGTGTCTGCCATAAAGACTGTAAGGAAACGAGACAAAAGAGTTTTGAGATACAATCATTAAACACAAGCTTTTACTCTGCAGCATGTTAAACACTGTATCTAGTCACTAGAAATAAAAAAAGGAAGGTCATTCTATTTATTTGATCTCAATACACTGAATTTTCTATTAGATCTCCTGCTGCAGGCCATAATATTAGATTTTTCGTGACCTATCAGGAGAGTAACATCGGGAAGAGCAGGCCTTTGGAACAGTGCAGGAGCACTCGGTTTTGCCTTCAGAAACTGGCAGCCTTTACTCTGCCGTTACGGGATCAAGGCTTGCGAGGCTGCAAGGATGTGAATTCAAGTCGACAATGACAAAAATTGTGTTGAACTGGCGAGATAGAGTGCCCACTTAGAGCAAAGTGAGCATCAGCCCTAACCAGAAAACCCAAGGGCTTGCTAACGTGACAGAGAGCAATGGTGTCACCGCCGCCTCTGCTGCTCACTCATGATTGATAGTACTGGGACAGCTACCAACACATCAATGCCACATTAGTAAGTACCACTGATTAAATGTTGACAAAGTATCCTACAATTAAGATGGCTAGCATTCACAGAGAAGCTAAATAGACTACATGGCTGAGAAGATCTTGTTAAATATCACACAGTAATTAATAGATAATTTATGAGTAATCCTTATTAAACTAAATTAAAAACATACCCAAAATAAACACAGCTCAAACTTAACTTCCCTTATTGACATAAAGTGCTTTTTGAAGACGTGCCTTGCGGGGGTGTTAGTGTATCTAGAAGGGAACAGAGATGAGCTTTGTTTCTGCTTATTCATCTGTATAAACACCGGCAGCGTTGACACTGATGCTGGAATCCCTCTGCAGGGTGTCCCCCTGCTAACACTGCAGCCCAATGCTGGTGAGTGTCCACCCCAACACTGTGCTAGGCTGTGGCCAGTCAAACTGGACACCTAACTTCTACTGCTTGACAGGAATTCTGCTGCTGAAGCAGCTAACGGCACCCATTCCCACAACAGCCTTCCTTGGGTCACTGCACCTCCACCTTTTGGTGGACTTTGTAAAGAGACAGGATGGATCCAGGGGCTTGCGGCTGAGAAACTCCACGTATTCCTGGAATTGCCTTTTGATGTTTCAAAACCTGGATAGGCAGCTGTCAGCTCCGTCGCTGCAGAACCCGGGTCCTGCATCTCCATGTGTCTGGGGCATGCAGAAGGTCCCAGCTGTCGCAGGTGAGCTGCGCTGGTCCCTCACACGCACTCTGCCCTGCTGCAGCCCGTGCATGGAGCTTGCATGTCTGCCCAGCCCTGGCTGCAGACAAGGACCAGATATAGATCCTTGCACTACTTTTGCTTAGTCGTTTCGGGACAGACATAGTTGCTCATGATAAGCAGCTGCTTATCCAGAAAGCACGACCTGATACACAGTTCTGCAGTGGGCATCACCCTCAGCGGGTATCCTGGAGACAAAGCAGACTCTTTATTTACAGTGACCTCTTTTGCTTTGCAGGCTGAAAGTAACTTCAGCAGAGGATGGGCCCTCCTTCTTCTACAGGGCCTGGTGGTGGACCACAGAGTCAGCTGTATGCAAGAGACATCAACCACGGATCCAAACAGACAGAAATACTCTTGAATTAGCGTGCTATAAGGCATGGCCATTGACGGGCTATTTATGTCAGATACAGAGAGATTTTAGCTAAGACATACGTTGCCCTCTACGTTTTCCTGAGAAGGGGAAGCGGAGAGGGAGCTGCTGAGCTCCTCTCCCTCGGATCCAGTGATAGGACGCGTGGGAATGGTTCAAAGCTGCACCAGGGGAGGTTTAGACTGGACATTAAGAAGGCTTTCTTTACTGAGAGGGTGGTCAGACACTGAAACAGGCTGCCTAGAGAGGTGGTCGATGTCCCAGGCCTGTCAGTGTTTAAGAGGCATTTGGACAATGCCCTGAATACCATGCTTTAACTTGGTCAGCCCTGAACTGGTCAGGCAGTTGGACTAGATGATCGTTGTTGGTCCCTTCCAACTGAAATATTCCATTCCATTCCATCCTATTCTATGTCAGGAGGTTAAAAGCTACCACCTGCTCTGAGCTTTATTTTGCTGTATCTGAAAGATACTTCAGCCCTGGGGTTCCCGGACTGCAGAATGGGATTAGAGCTTCTCGCAGGGTGGTGTGGAGAGGCAGCGCTCGCTTTCACCTCCTCAGCAGCTGCAGTTTTACATCATGCTGCTAAACAGGCTGCTGTCAAGGTGCACTGTACCCAAAACAGCTGTGCTCAAGGAAAATACAACTGTAAATGATGACATTACGTCCCCTTACTGAGATTTTATGTGTGCCATCACCTACTGTCAACAAGGGATCAGATGCCATTTCCTGACGAACACAGAGAGCCCTGACCCTCCGTGACAACTGTGTGCTTACTGTTCGCTACAATACACATATTTTTCTTCTCATAAGAGATACAGTCCCAACAGCACAAGGCTATATTTTATCCAAGTACACAGCATGTGCACTAATCAAATATCCATCCCAAATAACTGTCCTGTTTTGGAAGGCGTTAAGTGAGTCCAGGGAGGGAAGATATGGAAGGAGATGTTGCGGTATCGGGAAATACCATCATTGTCAAGGAGCACAGAAGTGTCATTCAAAGGGGCTGTCCCATCAGAAACCGACTCAGTGTAGAAAAAGTCAGGGAACAAGCAGCATCTTGTTCTCAACAATACGCAGCGCAGCATTTGAACCACTGTCAGCAATAATGTTGTAACTCTGAGAAATTAGCAACTGGGAAGTGGAAATGCATGCTCAAATCTGCGAACACCCATACATAGTTAAACACTAAATTAACACTCAGGTTGGTTTTTGGCTCTAGAGAAATAATGCTATGTTGGAGTAGAACATGAGGTTTTTTTCACAGAATAACAAACTCCCCAGCTGGGGCTTTAAGCAGTGAATTAAGAGCGAATCCACTGATCCACTGTATCTGAGCACAAAAAACCTTTATGGACGGGAACAGAAGTCCACTGTCACTGTCCTGTCTCCCACCTCCCACTGCCCCACAGCTCCTTTGCCCTGTTAGTGCCAACCCCGAGAGGACTAACAGCTTCTGTGGTCTTCAGGCATTACACACCCTTTTTTGCTCAGGTTGCTTTAGGCTCCACTTCTTTGCTTTGGAAACTTTACATGAATTTCCCTCTCAGATGACCCTTTGGCATTCATTCTGCCTCTCATTTCCTGCTTTCTCAGTCCAAATGATCAAGTTTGTGGAGTGGCAGAGCTCAGATTAGCGAACGGGTGTGGTGGGAATTCTACTGACTACACGGATGCTTTCGAAGTGCACAAACTCTGAATGAACTTCAGATTCTGGTAAAGTCTACTTGGGCAACGCCCTTTGACTGTGGAGTAAGGTCCAGTGGCCACTGCACGCATTCAGTAGTAAAAATCCAAGCTGACCTGTAAGTATTTTTGGTAGCAGTTTTTCTTTGATATTTGCTCCTTACGATACTCTGCTATCAGTGCTCCAGCAACTCCCCCTACCCCATGCAAATACTATGTCAGTAGTAGTAGAAGTGCATGAGTTGCAGACATCTGCAGCACTTCTACATTCTTTTTACTTATTCTCATGTCCAACCAGTTCTCTCAGCATGTGCACTGAAGTTTCACCCAGGAAAATAATTATTTGGTTTGAAATAAGAAAATCAAACATATCTACTTAGGTTTCTCCAGCAAAATTTCAAGGAATTTTCAGCTGCACATTGCCATCTCAGCTGAAGATAAGTGCTTTACAATCTATCGCAGTAGTCTGCTACGCAAAGAGCAAGGATCAGACGTATTTAGATTACATAAGCCTTCACAGACAGGGACTGTCTCTTGTGTTTGCACACATCAAATACGAGGAGACATATGGTGTCACAACAACATTTAAATACAATAATGACTGTGATAATGCCTCTGGGACAGAATTTGCCTTCTGTTACACTGGGGAAAAGAGAATTCACAATTTTCAGTGAACTTCTGGTACAACACCAGACACCAATTTTGCAGCTCCCAATGAAAAAAAAAAACCAACGAAAAAAAACCAAAAGAAAAAACTAATGGAGCTGATCCGCACAGAGAAGCAACTGTCTGCACTACCCAAGAACCGATAACCCCTTGGCTGTAACAGATGTGGAGTTTACATATACAGTCCTGAATGATTTCGATACCTACGGGAAGGGTCCAGCCACAGCAACCGCAGCTTGCACATCACCGTCTGCCAGCCAGGCCGTAGTAACTAACTGTGTACACGCTCTTGCTCTGGCATCACTGCGAAGTCAGACGTGTGGGGCAGAGACACTCGCACACCGTCCTCGGCAGCGGCGGTCAGCTGAAGGCATGCATGCAGACAGCTCCGCATTTCAGCTGATGGATGGCAACGTTCTGGGAGATGGCACCTTGACATATCTGTTCATATGACCAGACCCGTAGCGAAGGCAGATGGTCTCCACAGACAGACAAAGGAATATTGTGGCAGGCTGTGGTTACTGTTACAAGGCAGATTTGTGAGATAAGTGCTGATAACACATTCACGGCAGCACCTTCACACTTGATATTTTGGAGCATCACCTGTTCACGGGGCTGGTATAGCTCTGAGGAGGACACTACACACAGCTTGCAGACCAAAACCTCAGCTGAAGAATAAAATCTGGAATGCAAATAAATATTTGAGATGTTTGTGGC